CCTTATAGTTTCAGCAAGTGAACCAGAAGGACCTGCAGAAGTGAGCAATGATTTCATATTTACCCTATTTATTCATTAAACTGGTGAGAGTGATATTATATTCCTCCATGACAACACTGATCTTTAACTGAAACAAATTAAACCCACACCATAAATTTTCTTAACGGAGAGTAATATACTGAGTTCTGGATGCTTGTGGCAAGGATATTAATGGAGTACTCAGGGTGGCAAGCAGAACACATTTTAAATGTAATCTAAAAGAGATCGAGAAATATCATCTTCCAGGAAAAACAGCAACAAAAACCAGAGACCAAATCAAGCACGTAACCTTTCCTGTGAGTAGCACAAATAGAGTAAAAATAAGCATGCTGATCTCTGCCTGGAGAACCTCAGAGAGGAGGACTTCATTTGTCAGAAATCAGATCTAATAGAGCAATGCAAACAATCTTCTGAGTTTAAATGATGATGGGATTCAAACTTACAGCCAATGACTAATTCTGAAATTTCTGAGAAAGAGAGATGGAAACCCTTTGGCAGATAAGTAACTCTTAATTTGGCACATTAAGCGCAGCAATCTTTTACTTGCTGGACATCGCACTTCACTGCAATTCAGCTGTGAACAAGGAAGCTTTCTGAGCGAAGCCCTTGAAGGATACATCATGCTCTGCAGCAGTGCTCCGACCCGACTCCTCCGCTGCTATGTCGACAGAGATGTGCTAAACCAACAGTGGAGTCCCAGAACACAGTACGATTGGAAAGGACCACAGCAGAGAACGGATGAACGTTTTCCAGGGGTCTGTCGCTATTCTTAAGGATCCGTGGGGTTATGAGAGAAAGGTATTTTTAAGAGCTGCAAGTTTACATTTGAAGTCAGCAGACAGTCTAGATTCTTCAAAATGTCGCACCCTCAACTGTGGGGCCTCCTGAATGGAGCTGTTCCCATCTGCCAGACCTCAGGGCAGCCCTCTTTCTTCTAGCATGAAAGCAAACCTTTTCTCCACATCGATCTGTCTCCCTGTCTGTGTTTTGATGTTGGGTCTCTGTCATGGCAAAGCAAGCAAAATGGTGATGGAGAACAGAGGCTGAGGTGAGCACTGAGAACCGAGTCCATTTTATAACTTCATATGTGCTCAGGTAATCTTGTTTGTCTTGTAGACTTCTATTTCTCTCCCCATACGACATTGTACCAATCAGCCATAAAACAGCTTGCCTGAATTTTTTATCCTCTCACGTTTCCCTGAAACAGCTTTCAAGACAAATAGAAAAGTTCTGGGAAACTAGGATGGATTAAGGTGAGCTCCTCCTCTTTCCCCTGCTGCCTTCACTTCAGCCAACAACTCCCTTTATATGCAGGTGGTCTTCCTATAAAAGCTTCTTTTCATCAGTTCCCTGACTCCCCAAATCGAAAAGTGTTTTTCTGGCTGGAGGGGTGGTGGGTATTTTTGGTGCTTTGGTCACAGCACATGGTCCTCTTGGCAGATGCAGCTCTGCAGGTCACACCTACATCGCTCCCAGGACAGCCCCGGTGCCCCTGTGCTGGGCAGGGAGCCCTGAATCTCTTGCCCATCAGTGACTATTCTGCCTTGTGAGTCCCGGGAATCTCTCATAAATTTTGCCCTTAGACTCTGCAGCCAACACAAACTGGTAGCGAAGAATGATAATGCCTGAGGCTTACGAAGGAGGTCACAAGAAAGGACATAGTCCAGGCTCTCAGAGAAGATTATTACAGTAACCTCCATAGTGCCAAATAAACAGAACAGCTGACTGTTACTGAAATTTGGCTCACCTCTTGTACATGTGATGGGAAGGGGCCATTTCTGCAACGAGTCGCTGGCGTGCGGCTTTGTGCGCTGCACTAGAAGGGTTCGTTTAGGTTCCAAATTTTATAGGTGCCGTGGGAGTCTAATGCTCTTTTATTAGCACAACTCCACACTGACCTCCATGCTAAAAAAAGCAGGGACTTTCATATTATCTCATAATCCACCAAGGGCAAATAAACATTCAGAAATTCTAGTCTTTCTTTTTTCCCAACTCTCATTAAAACTGTGGTCTCTGTTATTATCACGCAGGCATTTTGCACTAGTTTTATATTACAGTCAAGTACAGATGCCCTGTTTTGAAGCAGATTTAATAGCAAAGCTTTTTTTGCTAAAGTTTCTGATTATCTGCTATCTGAGAGCAGTTTACCAGCAATAGTCTCCTTGGAATATTCAGGGTTGTGAACAGCTTTTAATTCTTTAAAGTGTTTGGTGATAAGTAGCTTGTTTATACTGTGATCTCACTTGAAAAGCAGCCAGCAGATTTCTGAATGTGCTTGTCCACTTCTTCCACCACCAAGCTGCTGGTCCAGCAGCAGAAACATGAAGCTGGTAATGCAAAAGCCATGGCTGGTATTTACAGATTAATCCAGTTAGGTGGTTTTACAATGCACCATCGGGCACCTCAAAAAAATTCCGTGTACCGATGTTCTAGGTGCTGGTGTGGTTGTGTGTTCAGTAAGAGGGTGTCTGACCTTGCACCTCTGCACTTGAAGCAAGTTTAGTTTTGCAACTGTGAAGGGAAAGGGTAGGAGGGGGCAACAAGAAAGAAAGACTTCCTCTGTTTTGTTCTACATGTTCTAGTGGCTCAATAGCAGGTGCTGACCTTGCTGGTGATTTACAGTATCTCTCACTACAATGAATTCCTGTTGGTTTCTTCTTGCCTTTTCAAAATATTTTAAAGCAAGTCCTATGGCTTTATTTATTTTCCTCTTCTATTTTCTCCCTTTTACTACAGTTGCATATTGTTACTTACATGAATGAAACATACAATCACTTCTCTTTGGGTGGCCATGACAAAAAAATATGCCATTTTAGCAGTTCTTAGTGAGATGCTTGGTGTTATTGGAGGAATTTTTCTCCATGAAAGGAATTTTACATGACACTGGGCACTTCAGAGTAGTCTGCAGTGCAGTAGCACTATGTGTAGGCACATAAAGTGTTCATATTCTTTCATTTAACGATGTTTCACCACACCACAAGATATTAGCTTCCAGTAGTGTGGGAGCACTTAGATTACAGTAGTGTTACCTCATTATACTTACTATTATGAGTGCTACCATTTATTCACAGTAGTAAACATTGTGCTAAATAGTAAGTGTATATAGGATCTAGGCTTTAGAAAATAATACAATTATGAGTACTGAACAATCTTGAGAGCTTTTGCTTAGTGAAAAGCATTTGCTGGAGCATTGTGTAAAGCCACAGAAATAGGCAGTGTTCAGTTGTCAGAAACCTTTCCCTTAGAATTTATTTTGCCCAGATAAAGTTCTGAAAGTAATTAAATGTCTGAGATTAAATATGATTAGAGACCAAAAGTGCAGAACCTAGGGCAGTTAGCCATTTTGTCTTTGACCTCTTCTGAGACTCTTAGCAACAGTGATAGATAGTTGGATGATGATGAGTTTTGAAGTGTAGATTTCTGCTAAATCAATGGACAAGGTATGTCAAATTTCTCGTCATTTCCAAAGGGTTCTGCCAGCCCCCCCCCCCCCCCCCCCCCCCCCCCCCCCCCCCCCCCCCCCCCCCCCCCCCCCCCCCCCCCCCCCCCCCCCCCCCCCCCC